AACAAGAGATTTGCCCATTTCTATGCAGGAATTATATTTGAAGATCTTGCATCAATGGCATTTAACCTCCATACAGAATTGCAGATATTCCATAATTATCCAACAAAATGTTGGAATGGTTAAAAAAAAGAAGGGAACATTCTTCTAGCTTTCATGGATATATGAAAAAGTATCAGATTTTTGGAAAAAAGTTTTTGACAAAGTATTATAATGAAACAAAAAATTAAATTTACACCAATACATTTACATATATTTGATGAAAAGGATATGGGATTAAAAATCAATCATTTATACATCTCTATAAATGTAGTGGTTAAGGCACCAGGCTAGAAACTGGGAGACAGTGAGTTTAGTCCTGCCTGAGGCACAAAACCAGCTGGGTGACCTTGGGCCAGTCCTTCTCTCCCAGCCCTGGGAAGCAGGCAATGGCAAGCCACTTCTGAAATCTTGTCAAGAAAACTGCAGGGACTAGTCTAAGCAGTTGCCAGGAGTTATGTGAGCTAAATTATTAATTGCTCAACACTGAAAATACTTGGGTAATTTGTCGATTGAAAAATTGCAGAATAAAATTTGGTCAATAGTTCTACTTGAAAAAATATCAGAAAGTTCCTAACTTGAAGAAACTGAATGATGAACCATCATTTTACAGGATCTGGAGGGAGGATAATTGATAATAAATCTTCTATCAGCTGGATATGTGGAAATTATAACATGATTTATAATGAAACCAGAAAATGTTGACACTAAACTGGTAAAATGCCAGTCAAAATGTATAGTTGTTTAAAATAAAATACCAAAGAGAAAATGAAAGAGAGAGAGAGAGAGAGAGAGAAAGAAAAATGGAGGGAGGGAAGGAGGGAGGAAAGAAGCAAGCAAGTACTGGAGAAGTGTGAAGTGCATGTAAATTTATGTTGTTACTTTACAATGAAAAGCTTAAATGAAGAGGAATTTTCTTACAGGAATGTTTAACAACATGTCCCAGAGGTTCCTTATACTGTACATTTATTAGGGTTTTCTTAAGAATATTACATAAGGTTTTCCACCAACCAATCCCTGTAGCATGTTAAACCTGAGGTTTAAAATATCTGGCCAGCACTGGGGGTGAACTGAGAAGATGCTTACAGCATGCGCTACTTCATGGTAGATCCTTAGAAGTTAACCAAAGACAAAGGTAATGAGAAAAGGGCTACCTTAACTTAAAAATAAGTGTTTGGGTGGAGTGTGTGCACGTGCTTGCTTTTTTTAAAAGTTGCTTTCAGTTGCTGTCAGTCAAAAGTTGAGGTTTTTTTCTTCCCCCAAAGAGACTCTGGTATACAACTTTCAGTCCAGATGCACTGTGTAACCTGCACATTGCTTGTTTAATAGGAGAAGCCTAAACCTCTCCCACCACCAGATATTGCTAACTTGGTAAAAACAAATCCACTCCCAACACTCCCTTCAATGTTCTTTCTTGCAAATTTTATCAGATTTATACTGAATTATTTATATACATGAACACACATACAAACATGTACCTTGTACAATTCTATTTCAGTATTCACGCTTGACAGCATTTGGTCAAGTACAAAATGCCACTGTTGTTTACTATTTCCTGGTATTTGATTATTAGTACACAGTGGTAATCTACGTGTTTCGTTTGAGCAGGTGTCAAAGAGGAATTTCCATAATCTGCCAATTTTCAAAGCAGTGAGGAAGTATAAAGCATACACACTTCAAATCTGGGGGTAAAAATGAATTTTCAAACTAATATGAATTCAAACTTGAAAACCTGAATATTTGAGAATATTTGTTTCAGTTCCAAGGCAGAGGAACTGAATTTCTGCAAGTCCCCTTCCCTTGAATAACACTAATCGTTTAATTAGGATTGGAGATAGACAAGGGATATATATACTACTTATTTTTTAATAATGAACATTTTTTTCTCTTTCTCACACACAAAAGGCTTCTCCAACTTTGCAGGATCATTAACAGCCCAGCACCAACCAAAGGCCTGAACAGGTTTTGAGTTCCTGCTTTGCCTGCAGAAAATTGGATAGGTTTAAAACAGTTGCAACCCCTCCTCTCAGTTCCTTGCAACACCTTGAAAGTTGCAGGCTGCTGTTTGAGAAGCCACAAGTTAAAAACTGTTTGTGTCCAAATATCTTGGAATTTCTCTCTTTCAACTGTAGCTACTAGGGTGGCAGAATTTTATATCTACCTACCTACCTATCCTAGATCAATTAATAAGATTAAGTTATAAATGTATTGTTGTTTGAGGAGTTGCAGAAGTATTGTTTGCTAAAAGGTGCAAAATGGCAGGATTTTCCATTAAACCAACTTTTGACATTTAGGTGTGGACTGGCAGCTCTCTGTTGTTGTTTTTTTAATCCCTGAATGAAATTGGGAGCTTGGAAGTACAGTACATCTTGAGCTTCTTATTTGCTTCTTATTTGCTAGTAAGACTCATCCAAGGTCTCAGTCTGAACCTGATAGCTAGAATGGTGGAGGACCATGGAGTATGTGCTGTGATTCAGATAATATTCACTACTGTCAAATGAGAATAGAGTGTTCATTACTTGAGGTCAGGGATGTCTTCACTGGCTCTCAAGAAATAATGACCTTTGGTGATATTTTGGAAAAGAACATAAGCCTTTTCCAACCTAGCATCTTTCAGACATGTTGGATTACAACTCTGACTATATGACCCATGGGGATGATGGGAGGTGTACATCAACATATCTGGAGGGTGCTGGTTGAAGAAGACTGATGCCAAATAAAATACCTGCAGCACTCCATTAAACACAAGGCTAGCTCAGGATATTTTGCTCCTTCTGGTGAAAAATTCAAAAGGCATCCAGTTTCTCTAATTAAGACATAACACAATCATTGGGAAGTCTCCAAGGGAGAACTTGGTTGAAAACATTAGAAACAGTGCTCCCGAGCCCATACATGGCTCATCACTTTGGTGGAGTTTTTGCGCAGGAGAATGTTCTGGTGGACAATTTCCTTGGGCTGTATCTCATGTCACTCTTTGTTTTCACTGGAAACAAAATCCACCACTATCTCATTTTGCCTTACACCATTTCACTTCTCATTGGGATGAGCAGAAAGTTTGTAAAATATATATTTTTTAAAAAGTTGACCTAATCACTTCACACTATCCTAACTGTTATCAACCGCTTGAATATTCTACCCAATTAATCAGCCTAAGGACTTCTTCATATTGAGCATACAATATTCAGCTATGTGAAAGGACAGACACTTGGTGGAAGGGGGAAGAGCAGTAAGAAATTAGAATACCCGCATTCGGTATTATACTGACATTATACTCAGCTAGGCGCTATATGCCTGGTATTGGTAAAACTGAGATTAAGGTATAAAGTCATGATTGCTTTTACCAGTGTTTATTTTAGCCTGGGCAACTTATGTCCTTCAGTCCCAGAAAGAGGGTTTATCCACGGCTAATTCTTCTTTCTGGCCTCCAGATACAGGCAGAGGAAGCTAGAGTAGCTCCAAATAGGTTTACTCTAGGTAGAGCATCTCTTCTGCTTCCCCTCCCCTTCTTCATGAAGACTTTCTTTTGTAGGAATGGTGACCACAGACCCAAAGAAGAACCACGGTGGCTTTTATTTTTTTAATCTAAAAAAAATAAACCCAGGATATGTCAGCTAGTTAGCCAATGCAAAAATGGTTGCGGTCCTGGCCAAAATGACTGCCACACAAGAAACCAAGGCTCGCTTTGATTTCCTAATTCATTTGGTGCCAGACCAGTGGCCATATTCATTTATTGATGGATTTCATTTACATCCCATTTCTCTCCTAAGAACTCAAAAGTGGCTTATGGAGGGACTTCTACTTTATCCCAGAACAACAATCTTGTGACACAGGCTGGTCTCAGAGAAAGCAACTTGCTCAAAGTCACTGAGTGAACTTCCATGGTTGAGGGTGGACCAGAACCAAGGCCTCCCTAGTGCCAGCCCAACACCTTAAGCACTACCACACAAGCTTATTCAGTACACCACATAAATACCTTCCCCATGGTTAGCGCCACATTACCTTCAAACTTTGCGTGAACACACCCAATAAAGGGGACAGACCCCTTGGATCAGCACCTGTGATTCCTGACTCCATTTTAACCTTCAGCCAATCCCATGCCTAAAAATCCTGTCTAGCTGGCAACTTGCTTCCAAATAAACCATACAATGAACAAACAAGTCATGTTTCCCTCTAACTGTGGGCTCATTATCTTTCATGTCATCTTATTCCATAATTCTGTGACTCCGCTTGCTGAAAAAAGAAGAACACACAAATGTAGCAATTTCCCCCTTGTTGCTTGTGTGGAAACAAGGTGAGAACTAGGATTGTTGCGATGAAACTTCAGTGCTCGGAGGAACGATAGATGCAGGTATGAATCCGCTTAAGTCAAAAGAGATTAAATTGGGAGCTTTTCTCACCAGTTCTCACCAGTTCAGAACCTTATCACCTGAGCAATGAAAATCTCATTAGCAGGGCTCTACTAACCATGAGGACCAGAAACATAATTATTTTTACAAACAAACCCTGAGATTCTTAGAATTCCAGCCAGCTGGGGAGAGGCCAGCTCTTGCTCCATGCCTGATGAGACCAAAATACCTTCCTTCCAGAGAAACTGAGCCCGTGTTTTAAACTGTATCTACCCCAAACAAGTTAAGACTCGTTTTCCAAGGTTAACCTTTCAATTAACATGAACTTCCCTGCCCTTCCTCCTTCCCCAGTCAGAGTTGCAAGACCAGGTTCTGCCTGCATGCAAGACCTAGCCAATATCCTTCCCTACTTACTTGGATTCGTTGGGGAGCGATTCCTGCCCGGGAAAAAGCGAGAAAGGATTGATCCGCACGGCAACAGGCAGAGGCTAAAACCAATTCCAGCGGACCGACCTTAATTTCATTGTTTCCAAGCAGGCTGCAGGCAGGCTCTGCCCGTGCAAACTCTCCGCGCCCTGCAACCCTCCCTTTTCTTTCTACTGAAGCGGAAAGGCTTACCTGCGAAAAGGAGCGCACCTCCAACACCCTGACTTGGCCTTTTGTTAACGCTGATCTCCCCACCCCTGGGAGCGAGGGTGGCTGCCTGAGCGGGAGCGCCTGGCCATTGGGGGGCAGCTTCGGCCTCTCCCGTGCTCTCCTTTCCTGGCTCTTCAGGAAAACTGGAAGGAAGAAAGCGATGCCGCGCCAAGTCGCCTCTTGTCACCGTGGAAGCCTTTGGAAATGGTGATCCTGCGAGGCGATGTTGCAAGCTCCCTCCTTCCCTGGCCCATCCCCCTCCGTGGCCTCCCCGAGGCCCGCCTTCCCCTTCGCCTGGCGGGAGACCTGAGCCACCCAGGAATTGTAACCTGAGTCTCGTTCACGGCCTTTATCTGGCTTTGTGGTAGCTGAGCGCCCGCCGTCTCGAAGATTCCCCAGTTCTGCCTGGAAAGCCGTGAAGTTTGGGGGCTCTGCAAAGGGACACGGAGGGGGTTGGAAGATGGGGGAAGGAGCTCCATGGGAAGCCATAACAAGCCTGGAGGAGGAGATAAACAGGGTTTACTAAGTGAGAGTGCGGAGTGAGATGGAAGAGGGGAGTAGGAATCCTTTTTACTTAGCAGAGGGAAGGTTTGGTGGGCAGAGAAGGAAATGAAGTAGCCGAGATGTATGCACCAGGTGGGATTTTGATTTTGTTCCCAGGTTGAGACAGCAAAGGGTCTAACCTGGTGCTTTCAGAGGTAATGGATGACAATGCTCATCAAGGCCTGTGACCATGCTGGCTGGGAATGATGGGGGTTTTACTCCAACACATCTGTGTGTGCCATGTTGGGGAAGGATGTTCTAAAGGATTTTGTGTGACTATGTTTGCATGATACATTTACCCATGCTTAACTGAGCTTACTTTAATTCACCAATATTCTGAGTCCCCAAGACACACTGAACCATAAACTAACCACAAAGGTTGGTTTGCACTGCAACTGAGCTTACTTTAATTCACCAATATTCTGAGTCCCCAAGACACACTGAACCATAAACTAACCACAAAGGTTGGTTTGCACTGCAACTGAGCTTACTTTAATTCACCAATATTCTGAGTCCCCAAGACACACTGAACCATAAACTAACCACAAAGGTTGGTTTGCACTGCACACTGTGCTAAAATATAATTGCCTAGTTGTGGTTCAGTGTGTTAGGTAAACACAGCCTATATGTTGAAACAACATCCAACAAGCCATAGATCTGTTAAACTTGTGGCTGAATTCATACATCGTGTTTAGGCAGATCCAAGCAAACCATATTATGGCTCATAAACA